CAATCATGCTCTCCAATTAGATTTTTTTGAGGCAGAAACTTCAGCTATCTAATCAGTCTGCAAAGAAAAGATGAATGGAATGTACTTTCGATTTCACACTGTTGCCTGCTCTTTGAAACATCTCCCCCTTCTTTTTGTTGTCAACTATAAAACGTGTATACAAAATGTTTTATGAGTTGACAGTCTGACTGAGACAATGAAGCAACCTCTTCCCAAGCCATTGGTCAGCTTGAGAAATGTTTAAAAGGTAAGCTCTATTTCAAGTTGGATTCAAATCCTAATGATTACAGGAGAGCAGCTGTGTAGAGGTTTTCTGGTAACAACATAAAACTGGTTTCTCACTGTCATCATTCCAAATCTAGCCAAATTGTCACAGTACTGCCTGATACTCATACTACTCAGTTTTTAATGTAGTATGATTTTGCTTAGTTTAGTAAAATTAGCCAAGTTTGGCTAAAGACTTCTACTTCCTACTTGGTGACTCCTGCTATTTTTCTTGAAAATATTTTGTCTTTTCCTGGTATGTTTGTTTTCAACTTCCCAGTTTACCCAATTGCTCTGAAACTCTCCCATCCAAATACTAATCAAACCTTAAACCAGGGGTATCAAACTCAAGGCCCGCATGCCAGATCCTGCCTGTGATGTGGTCAGATCTGGCCCGTGGGGTATCCTGGTCTACCCCAGGTGAAGAGGAAAGTTCAGGCCAGTGTGACTTGGGCCCAGTCTACCCAATGCGAAGGGGAAACATGCCAGCAGTTTGGGGAGTGGCGTCAAGCTGGCCACATTCACCCAGTTGGCCATGCCCCCCCAGCCCCCCCCCCGAGGTCAACCACAGCCCTGATGTGGCTTCAATGAAATTGACACCCCTGCCTTAAACTATTCAACATTTTATAGATAAATCTGGATCTGCTTGAGATATAGAGACCTATGCTATTTTGGTTTTATTTCTGCATGTTTAAATAGCCAGAGAAGTAATGACTTCTGGAAAATGTCTACAGCTTATTTCAAATGACACACCATTGGATAATGCATCAAGGAAACTGTTATGGATGTTGATGAAATTACTGTGGATCTAAGAATAAGTTAGACACTACTCTGCGGTTATCAGTGCTTCTCCATTTCCCATCAATACATGATTGGTGCTTCAAGAAATCAGCTTTAGATTGTATTTCAACTCTTAAAAAATCTTTTACAGTTGTTAATCAAAAGTTTCTGGGCAGACTCAGCAGCAAGAGGTTAAGAGGACAGACATTTTTACAGACTGACAATTGGTAAAGAACAGAAAGAAGACAGTGAAGGAAATTAAATGGATATTTTTTTTATATGAGAGAGATATGACAAGGGTCCTTAGGGATCTGTGCTAGAACTGAAGATCCTTAGCTTGTTTATGGATGACCTCAAGTGGTTAAGACAGGTCAAAGTGGCTGACACCATCAAATTATTCAGGGTGGTAAAATCAAAAGGAAATGGCAAACAGCTTTAAAGTGATCCTTCCAAATGTTGCATATGGTCTTTAAAATAGCAAATGTCGTTCAATGTAAGCAAACATAAATTCCTGCTCATTGGCACAAACAACTAAATTTCATGCATTCATTAATGAAATCAGGACTGGCATTAAATGATCCAGAAACGCATCTGAAAAGGTGGATAATTCAGTGAAAATGTAACCTCTCTGGACAGCAGCCAGTGATAAAGGAGCAGGAGGCGGCAAACTCTACAATTGGGAATAACGAAAAACAGGATTGGAAATAAAACTGGCAATGCAGTAATGGCTTTATGTACAATTGGTACAATTTTTAACAATATTTATAGTGATCACCAAATCTGAAAAATGACAGAGATGATATAAAATGATTTATGATGGAGAAAATGTACATAAGTTTTCTTCCTCTTTCCCAATGTCAGGATTCTAATTTCATTTATATTAAATTAAATGCAAGGATGACTAGGGATCTTTATGCAACACCAAGCTGAGCGATTAAACTTGGTAAGATTTGGTGATGGTTATTTATTTAGAAGGGGCTAAACAAACACATGGAGGAAACATATCACTATATATTACCCTCTTGAATCAAAGAAAGGTTCCCAAATTCATTTGATTGGCTGCTAGATGTTAAAGGATGCTGGACTAATTTATTGATTGATTGACTGATGTTAAATTATAAATATTAGATGGACCATTGGCCTGTGCCATCACAGTTCTTCTTGTACTCTTAGCCAAATGAAAGAAACCATTTGAAATACGCCCAGGAGCTAAATGAGGAAGAAAAAAAATACCCTGCAGCAACAAACAAACATAGAAATGTGTATTTCTACCATCAAACAAATGAATTGAAAATCTACAGATTTTCAGTCCTTTATCGATATGTTGTATGAATCACCAATTACAATTTGCTTTACAATGAAAAGATTGATTTTCGTTTTAATGTAAAGGAAAAAATATTCAGTTCATTTCCAATCTACCAAGAAAGTACAGTGTAATCTATTTAGTCAATTTACATTGTGTATTGTTTATGCAACATAATGACATCATATACTACAATGTGACAAAATGCATTATTTAAATGCATTGTGCTGTACAACAGGGTATATTATTATTTTCAAAACCACAGCCATTTACTGATACATACAACATTAATTTGCTATAGTTTATAAAGGGGAATAATTGTCAAAGACAGTTCATAAAAGAAACTACCAGAATTCCTTAGGGATTTCCTTTTTTAGACAACATACAATTTATTGCAATATATCTATATTGCAGTAAATCAATCAATCAATCAATCAATCTATCTATCTATCTATCATCAGTGGAAAAATGTTTTCTTTTTTTCCTCAGATGAATGTGAATATGTATGTATGTATGTATGTATGTATGTATTCATCTGAGGAATATATATAGGTAGATATAGATATATAGATATTAGATACTAGATATTAGATAAACAAATCTATAATCAATATCTTTTTACAGTGAATCAAATGCTCTTATTTGTTTTTTTAAGTAGTACTAGCAAATAATTACATGTAAAATACCCCAGAAGAGTTTATCAATAGCAAAGTTCTAGCAACTTGTTTAAATAACATTCTCCCAAAATATTTGAACACTTTAATCAAATTGACAACTTATATGTCTATCCATCTCATATTTTCTTTTTCATGTAAAACTAGGCACCATGTAGCATTCTTAAAGTTCTAACAGTATTGTCTGCAAACAATTAGATTCCAAAGCAAAAATATTTTCAAAACAAAACTCTAAAAAAATATGCTGTGAAAACATTTATAAACATTATTTTTCAAACCTTAAAAGAATATAACATTACCTTTTATACATTTGAATGTTATTTATATTGATTTTTTAATAAAAAACAATTTTATGATACTACAACATGTTGACGATGTACTCTATAGCAATTTTAACAACATCAATGTTATTTTTACTGGCTTCTTGCAAAATATGAACAGCTGCAAACTATATTTCATCTGCGGTTGTCTTAAAAATGATTAGAAATCAAAGTATCAAGTATATTACATTTTCTTCTTACTTCAAATGCTGTTCAACTCCTATTCAAATATTCATAAAAACCCCAACAATTACACACATACACACACACACACATACACACACAAAATATTTCTTTGCCCTGAATTTTCCCCTGACAGTCAAGAAAGCTAAGTAATTTTCCTGTTAATCATTTTTAGTTTCGGAGTATTTCTCCTTCAACAGATGTGCGGAAGTTAAAAAATCTACACCATAACTCATGTATGAATTTAAAACAATGATTTCATTCCTTTAACTGTTCACTGCACTCAGGGAATACTAGTAAGAACATCTAAGATATTGAAGACTAGCCTACTTATTGCTGAAACCATCAGATAAATATGAGATAATAGGAACTGGCTAAACATCAGTAGTCACAAAATAATAATATTTTATTTCATGTATCATTTTATTCAACAAGACAAGAGCAGAACCTCAAATCAAAACAAATAGTTTTGCAATATAAAATATTATTCATATCTGGCTCTCCATCACTTTATAATTATCTTTTAAGTACAACTTATATGTTAACGTAAAATAGGTGCCATCATCATTTCAAATTGATATCACCATACTTGAATAATAAAAGAACCCAGTATTCTACTGTTTAGATTTAAAACTATGGTCCCAAACACATTTGCTTTAAGATTAAACTTCAAATGAATCAACAAGGTAACTGAAAATATAGGATACTCTGATTTATTTCAGAGGAAGTCTTTTTATTTTTTAAAAATAGAATAATAATATGCAACAAGGAACAACACACGCATGACCATTATTTTCTGCAGGAATTAATTACCCCTAATTTATAAACTCTTTCTCTTTATCTACCCATATATAGTTTTTACTGCAAAATAATTTAAACATATGCTAGTAATTAATTAGGATATTGCCCCAAATTCTTCATAAACATATCATTTGTTAATAGTGAAAAATAGGACAATTGGAGGTTTAATAATGCTTTAATTTATTACTATATCCTAGAATTCTTTTGATAATACCTGAAGCCTACTGGTTGACACCTGGAATCACACACAGCAAGAGAGCTATTTGAACAGAATATAGTTAACAGCTCTAATTCAGAAACTTCACTGGAAAAATGAAGATGTCCTTCTATTCTGGGCTCAGACCCATGCATAAATCCCTCGCACAAATCTCTTTTAACATGCAAATCCATAAATCATCAGAATGCTGACAAAGAATTTAACCAGCTTGTGAAACTAATGCATATTCTGTCTGGAGTTGGATACTGATAGAACTATCCAAAACATCACCCATCACCAATTTATTTTTGGTCGAAGGAGAATAATTTATGTAGTCATTTCATTTATCCACACGACGATTAAACGCTCAGGAGGACAATCATTGATATCATTTGTAAATTAGTAACATGACCAACGGCACCTCCTTTACTTAAAGGCACAATAGAAATACCAATAGCAAATTGACAGGGAGTACTTACTGACGATGGTAAACCTGGAGGAACTTTTCGAACTTTCTTTGTTTGTACTTCTGAAAGAGGAAGATAACAGGGGAACGGTGAGAGGCATTTCTGCAGCCTCAGACCTTCACAGTCTGTGATTTAGCACTGAGCTTAGCGTGTCTTTATCAAGTCGTATTAAGACAGTTCAGTAAAAGTTGCACATTAGAAATGTAAGGAAGTAACTCACCAACAGAAGTGCTGTGCAGAGGCCTCCTTCGTGGATTATTGCTAGAATACTGATAGTACTGAGAACCAGGTTTGGTAGGAGAAAGAGTTCCTGGGTTGCCCATTTCCATGTCACCTCCAAGGAGACTTTGCTAAAAGATTTTTGAAAAATAAGTATTGTTATATCTAACTTTTCCCCTATTTCCTTTTCTATATGCTGATTCAAATTAACAGCCAATAATATGCAAGGGTCTGTAACAAGCAAATTGTTGCAAGCAGTCAGTCAAAATGCATTTCAGCGTGACTGTTTTAAATATTACAAAAAAGGTTCTTTAAAAAAAGATAGAGAACAATTTCACTATTACTGAAAGGAAATGTTTAAATATTTAATTATTAATTGAATTTATTTGTTTCTGCTTAATGATGAGTATCTCTTTTTAATTTTTTTATCAAAAGATCCAGAATTCCTTATTTTTCTATATTATTTAGGATGAATAAAATACATTGTGTTCTTCAATACAACTTTTTAGTCTAATACTAATGAGCAACCGCCAAACGATTTCATTCTGAAGAGATAATCATTCTAAAAAACGCGTTTGTGTCCAATAAAACTATTTTTAAAAGTGGCTTATAGTTACCATAAAAATGTGCCAATCAAGTATATGGTCACTGAAGAAGCCCTCAAAATAATAATAATAATATATATATTTTATTGAAATTAGCTGTTGTTTGGCTACATTTTTTGGAACAAGGAACAGAGATTGAGGAAAAAATAGTGAACAGAAGTTGTTTTAAAAGCTACTTCAATATCATACTGTTACAATAAGAATGTTAGCATCCAGAAATACAAAAAGTACTTACTTATGAATGGGTAATAGTTACTACTAATCCAGAAGAAATGGAATCTGAGCACAGTAACAAGGAAAAACCCGAGTCTGACATTTTCTAAAAATTCTATTACTATAACTACATTGCAACTTACCCATAATATATAAATCCCCTGATTATACTCTGCACTGAACACATTGTTCTTTTAATTTTTCTGATATGCAATAAAACAGGTGCAGATACTACCATTTATATGATGAAGAAATTTCCCATTTAATAAAGAAATTTCAAAATTAAGTACCAAAAATCTAACTTTATCGTTACTTGTAATCAACTTTTACTGACTGAACTAATTACTGTACTTGATAAAGTACAGAATGTGTTTTCCCTAATCTAAATTCTAATCACCATGTCACTCACAACAGACTTAGTAATGCTTCACTAACACACTATTCACATGCAAAACACTCTAAATAGGCCAATTATGACTCTGCCCCTGTTCCCTGGTTAACCCGCTGAGAACTGAAAAATTTCACAAGACAGTCACCAACTAAAACAAAGACTCCTTGTTTTAAATTAAGGCAGTCTTTTTGATTCCTAAATAGTTCAACAAAGTACCATGTCTTTGTCTGAAAGCAGTTGGTCAAATATGACCTATGAGCTGGAAAATATATTGGAAAAAATAAGTAAATAAAATAAAATTTAAATATAACTTTTGCATCCTTGGAATATACGTATATTAAATGTCTTTCCCTAGAAAAGCAAATCGTAAATTTGTTAGTAGTAACTTACAATCGAGACTATATGTACTGAACCTTTATTTCCAATTTTATACAAAGTCAGAAAGGAGTTTTTCACATCCAGAACTCAAAATAGGAAAAGCATTAAAATCACCTTCTTTGTAGTTCTTAAAAGGCCGTAATAATGGTTGCTTTTGGACCAAAATAGGGAAATTGAGAATATGCTGTGCTAACAAACAGTTTCAAGCAAATTTATTCATTAACGTTGATTGTTTCTATATAATAAAACTTATTGAACTTTAGTATGGAAAGCCCACTGGAATACATCTTAGGAATCAGACATGTTAGAATATGCATCTTATCAATTAAATGATTTCTGTGGATATGTATCGTCTGTCTGTTAAACAGCCAAGTTTAATTTTTGATATGACTATGGGGAAAAAATTAGTTGCAGTTCTAAAAAAAAAAAAACTCTTTGGGGGGAAAAGACAGAAGCATACACATAATAAACATACATAGAAAATGGTTCCAAGCCACAGTTTCAATTATTTAATTGTATTCTAGCTACTTTGTAAAGTAGTTCACAAGTTACTACTTTAGCTACACAAGCCTTCAGTTCACAAATATGCCAAAATACTCTTACGTTGTGATGCTTTGTAGATGAAATGTTTGCTATGAAAACTCTGTGGACTACTTTACTAGATAGATGCAGTATTTATCAAGCACAGTATGATATATACACAGGATAATGCCATGTGGATCTGATGGAGTGGTTTGTAATCCATGACACTTCTAGGATTTTAAGTCATCAGGAAAAATATAAATATAATACTCCCCAAAAAGGGTCTTCAAAATAAGATACCAGTCACACAGACTAGCATATAGTAGCCCTGACTATAAACAAAAAATTAAACAGCACTATATTCCATTTTTAAAAAAAGAGTACATAAAAGTTACAAAACTTTATTAAAAGGCAGACCATAGTGTGGCATGGCAAAACCTACCCATTTTATTTTTCATTCAAGCAGTGTATTTATATTTTGCAAAATATTAGATGATATATAATAATCAAGCATCTTTGGAATATATAAATTTGTGTATGTTTAATCAATGCATCCAAGGAGGGTGGGGGAAGGGACGGTAGCAAAACATTACTAGCTTATCCTTCCAGCTTTTCACTTAAGTGCCTCTAATGTGGTCTTTATTTAAGTCTTTGTTTTTCATTGGAACAGCTAAGTCATTCTTCTGAGGCAACAAAACATGCATTTATGTGCTCTTGTGGGGGCTTCTCTAAGTACTCCACTGGGGAGAAAGAAGATAAATATATATCTATTCATTCTGAGGTACTCGTAAATAGAACAACAACCCCTCTACTATTGCTCAATCATCGCTAACATCTTTTAGCTGAAGAACAACGCAGAAAAATCATGAGGCCACCATTTAACATTTGAGCTTTCTCAACTTAAAAAAGGATAATCAATTATGAAATTCAAAAGCTAAATTCTAAGAATTCGTTTTCATCTACAAAGGCCTTGGAGTTTGGTTTCTGCACACAAACACACACAGAGAGAGAGAGAGACAGAGAGAGAGAAAGACAACCTTTAGTCAAACAATTGAATTGTTCAATGTTTTCTATTCATTATTGTTATTGTGTTCCACTGCTTTAACAGTGGAACAACTGTTTGAAAATTTATATATATACTACCATATTGAAGTTCATTTCTGGAAAGTTACTTGAAGCACTCTGAATTAGGAAGGCAAGGTAGAAATATTTTAAAAGAATATATATCAGGTGAAACTTTGGGTTAGGTTCTACATGGCCCTTCTGCTAAACCTCCATCTGCAACTAAGTGTGTGACTTTTACACAATGCCCTCAAACACAAAAGTGATTTCTGCAATACCTACTAAAGGAAAAAGACAATGAGCAGGGCATTTATGGAAGAGCTCTAAGGCTATGATTCATCAGAGAGTATGAATATGCTCAGCTTTCACAACTTACACTAAATATCTTTCTAGCCAAAAGTCAGATGCCTACTAAGAGAATACAAGCTCAGGAATTGGTTAAAAGCACAGCCAAAGACACAACAATAACTGTAATCGTAAATGTGTCACCCATACCCCTCAGTATGAATGAATGTTAGAATATATTTAAAAGTTGTTTTGATATAAAAACTTGAATTCCTTTATAAGGTTGATTATGAGTTTGCTATATATAATGCAACTTATTTGGGACCTTTCTTCTTTTTCTTTCTTTCTTTCTTTCTTTCTTTCTTTCTTTCTTTCTTTCTTTCTTTCTTTCTTTCTTTCTTTAGTTCCTTTTTTCTTTCATTTTAGTCTTTATTTCTTATCCTGCCCCAGCTTAAAAAGTCTCACCTAAATATATGAAATTATAAATTAAAATTGAATTTTAAGAATATGTGCAATTTTAAAATAGAAAAATAGAGGTTGATTGTTAGCATTCTCAATGAAAATAATTGTTTGAAGCTAAATAAAGTTTTATTCATGCAAGTACAATGTAAACATATTTTTCCCAACTATAATACAAGGAAATACACCCCTCCTCCATACTCATTCTTAATATGGATTAAAATGGGTTGAGTGCTGCCTTTCGTAATGAATAATTGATTTACAGAAAAATAAATGCCCTTGAACATAAGGCACATTGAAAGAAATTCATATAGTAAAAAAAAAAAAAACAACAACAATGAGGGGGGAAAAGAAAAGAGATTGAAAAAAACTTTCTGGCAAAGGGCCTGTTGACTGGACTTCCTGGAATGAGTTCCTTTCTCTTTCTCATGCTTATTAAATTCTGATCAGATATCAAACTACTTCATGTAGAACAGAGAAAAACAGTCTTACATGAAACCAGATTACATTTCTTTTCTAAGCACTTGTCAAATTATTGCGAGCTGAGTATGTGTTTGGGCATTTTAGCACACTAACCAGCTACATTTCTGCACTACCTTCACCACATATGTCATCTATTGTGACTGTGGGCCATATTTTATTCTCCATTTATGTAGTAAACAAAACATTACACATTCAAGATTTAAAATACTGGACAAAGTTGCATTAGAGTGAAAGGTAAGTAAATGGATGATATCTCCTAAGACTTGTCAATGCTATATGGTCCTGATGTAACTCTTGTCTTCAAAATAGTCCTGAGGGCACAACTAGCAACTAAGTTTTAAATCAGTACTGTTTAAGAGGTCTATCAAAAGAAAAACATCATTATCATATAATTATCATATCATTTAATTTGCACATCCAGGAAAGTGTAACACAATGGAAAAAAACTGTTTTTTCTTGAATTAAGTGAACGAAGGAATCATCCTAGAGTTTAGCAACATTGGGGAAACAACAGCACTATTATGATAAAGACAGTTTTAAAAAAATGACTTATAAAATATTTTTAGGTAAAGAAAAATTATATCCTATCTTCTCAGCCATATGAATACTCCAGTAGGTGTCACTACGCATTTCCATAATATGTTGAATGGAAAGGAGAATGTATATCAGCACCATTATTACAAGAAAACCAACAGTCCTATGCATATTTTCTGGGATTAAAAAAAAAATCCAG